GCCATTACCACGACCCTGGAACGCTGCTAAGCTAAAGCAGTACTATAGTTAAAAACTACCAACGACACCTAGGACCCTCGACCGTCGACACCCGCGCTCGGTCAACGAGGAAAATACGTCTGACTCCGTGGAGAGGCTGAGGTACAAGCCCGACCTACGGCTAAATCGCACAACATCGCTCAGCAAACGAGACCAACCGATAGTGCCCGACGTGGACAACTACACTGAGCTCCACCGTCGTAGTACCTGTAAGGCAGGACACCCAGCTCGCGATGGGCAGTTCACACCAAGGGCAAATAGTCCCTAACGGGCCTCTGCTCCATCTGCCCGACAAATCTTCAAGAATGACGGGCCATCTTAAAGGGTCAAAAAGGAGTCTCTCCCCTCGAGTGCACCACTTAGGTGACTCTGGCCATCGAGAAAAGGTCGGGCGCATATACAAACAAAAGGCGGGCAAATTTGCCAGCTAAGTCACAGCCACTTATGGGCACTCCTCGGGCCCATAACTTAGGCTAATTTTTGTGCAAAAATATAAAAATCAAGCACGGGCAAACAATCAAAATTGAAACAGCATTCATTCAAAAAACGCCTGAAGGCAACAAAGCAAATAAGTATAAACCGACCAAGAAGGCCAGCGATGTTCATGAAGTACAACCAACGGGCGCGCAGGCCCAAAAAATACGAACAGGCACGTAGGCCCAAAACAAATATCAATAAGGCACGCAGGCCCATCATCATTTTACAATCCGGTTTCCCCGGAGCCATCATCACCGACAACAGGAGAGTCGGGCGGGGGCACGATCGCGCCATCCATGATCTGAGACATGTAGCCCGTCCCTTCAGTGATCAAACCGGGATTCAGCAAGGAAAGCTGGCTGACCGCGGAGTCGAACCCCTCCTCTATAGCACCAATGCAATCTGCTTCGAGGAGCCGGATGTGGGCGACCAGCTCCGATCGACTCTTCAAAGCGGCTATATCCTCCGGCTCGTCCTCGGCAGGAAGCATGGCGACTTTCAAGTCCTCAATCTGTTGGGTTAGGCGCCCGATGTCGGTCTCCAGACGCTCCCGGTCCGCACGGAGAAGCTCTCTCTCCTCGGCTAGCTTCCCCGAGTTTTCCTTCTCCAGGGTCAGCATCTCTCTCTCGGAAGCCAGCAGCGATGCTTGCTCCCGGAACATCTCCTCGGAGCGCTCCAGGGCAGTCCTTAACTTTCGCGAGCTCGAGGTGAGGGCCGCTTTCTCCTGTTCCAATTCTTCAATTCGGACAGGATCCTCCCCTTCCTCGGACAGCATAATGGCCATTTCAGCCATTTTCACCAGCCCGGCCATATTGGCGGCCATGTGCCTCCTCCGGTCCTCCTTGCTCATCCTCTTGATAGCCTCAGCCTCATCGGCAGTCACGGACAAAGGGAACCCCTCGAAGAAACCCTCCTCTTTGAAGCAAGGGGGCAACCCGAAGGACCTTACGACATTGGAATCCTCGCCGACCGTCGGCCCACTCTCCACCCGGTTCCTTTTTCTCGATATCAGGTCGACATGTGGCTCGACCTCCTGGACCTCTGGGGTCTCTTCCGAAGCAGCCCCGAGCTAGGCGAAGAATCCACCCTCACCACATGAGGAGCGCCCGGACTATGCGGCGGGCCCATCCTCGTTGCTTGTGGAGCCTTCACCACCCTCTTGCCCCGCTTCTGGTCACAAGACAGCTTCAAGAGTCTCTCCCGTCGCCCAGCCATCGAACCTGCACAAAATAAAAAATCGGGTTAGTGTCGAGCAAATAAGCGGACAAATGACAAGCAAAGAAATTCAAGCAACAAACGACCTAGCAGACGAGCAGCCTGCCCGAATGACTGGCACTCCACGAGTGCCTTAGTATCGATCGATCGGGCCTCGAATGTCGGATAACCCTCCTTGTCCAGGACATCTTCCCCCTCCCTCGTAGCCCACCTGGCGGGGTGGAAGCTATCAACATACCGACAAAGAGTGTCATAAGCTTTCTCATCCTCGGAACCCATGTCGCCCGCAGAAGTATGATAATACCCAGTTCCGTGCTCGTAATGCCTAGAAATCCAATGCACGGGGAACTTGGCCGTGCGTCTCAACACCGGATACCCGTCGTTGTCTAAAAGTGCCTCCCCGTCATCGTCGCTTATCGGCGCTTCCTCCTCGTACAGGGACTCTAAAGCGGTTGTGGTAACCGGCCTCACGACATACCACTTGTCTTTAAAACCCCGCACGGAGTCCATGTACATCTTGAACAGTCTCTTCGACTGTTTCAGGGAGACCCAGTTGTGCTTTCCTCCCCGGGACTGGCGCTGCAGATGGAAGATTCTGAAAAAGAGAGGTATAGTCGCCCCGATCCTCAGAAAACGACAGGTCAGCTCAAACGCCCGGATAAAGGCGAGCGAGTTCGGGTGTAGCTGCGACGGGGCCAGCCCCAAATGGGCAAAGACCCCCGCCTGAAAGTCGCTGAAGGGCAGCTGCAACCCAAGGTCTTTGAATGCAATTTTGTACATGGGGAAACTATACTCGGGGTACACCGAGCAAATCCGAGCAGTGGAGGTCGGTCGTGTAACGACGAAATTCTTTTGAAAATCAGGCTGGCCGTGGCTCGCCTCAAGGACAGCGTATGGCTTTCGGCTACGCCGACTATAGACCGAGGCGATTCCTCTAGGCTCGGCGCCCACCCAGTCCAACAGAGGGTCTTCTACGGTGTCGATCAAACTCACAGCCTCATCGGCTCTTTGTTCCTCCCTTTCGGGGCGTCCAGAAGAGCACGGCTCGTCCGCCATGGTTACCTACAAAGCACGGGAAACCAGTCAATTGGGCACGAAAACCATACGCTCGTCGTAACGGACAAGATGGAGTGCGCGACAAACCACGTCGCTCTACGCATGACCACAGTTGGTTTGAAACAAAAATAGCAGTTGCCTCCCCGACTTCCAGATACCTCGACGGACCCTTCTGCAAACCGCCTAAACAAACCGACAACGCGGTCACTCATGAATACGCCGACCCGGGGTACAAACATGGCGAGCAGTATCATAAAGCCTAAAGCCAGAGCCATGAGCATACCGGGCACGATCGTGAATTAGGCACCCTGGATCATGAAGACCCCGGGAAGCCACTGCAGATTATAACCTAAACCATGCATCTATCGGCCACGGGCATGTGTTTGTCGACCCTAAGCATGAATTTGTCGGGCTAAACATGAATTTACCGGGCTAGTCCCACGCGCACAACCTCTAAAACGTCTAAAAACGATGAAAATCATGCATCACAACAGAAAAACAGAGAAGATAAGTCACTTACTTGGAATCAAGGAGTAGATTCGGCAACGGAGGTAAGGAATCGGTGACGGAGATCACGGCGGTGCTATGAGAATCTGGAAAAACAACAGCAGCAGAAGCGCGAAGAGTAGTAACGCGTTATGGGGCCCAAGGATCCTATTTATAGTGATGATGTGGAATATCAAACGTCACCCCGGGCAACCACAGAGTTTCTCTCCTCGACGCACGGCTCCCCTAGGTAATAATGACCCTATCCTCATAGGGTGGCGGCACAGTTCCAAAAAGATACCTCACATGCTCGACAGACGCGCGCCGTTGAGGAATCCCCGAGCATTCCCCGCGAAGGACTTGTCTCCGAGCACGATACGGGGAAGCCCTCGAGGAGCTGCGTCCCTGACCCGGGCACGAGGCCCCGAAACGGAAGCAACCTAAGATCAAGCCATGGCTCCTAACCCAAGGAACCATGACTTGGGGGGCTCCTGTTCTAGACTGGGCCCGACTGGCCCAATAGCATTGATAAGGCCCAATCCAAACGGACTTGCTGGGGGCCACGTCGACCAAAGGGTCACAGTCGTGCCCGACGTGCTCCCTGGGGCTACTTGCTCGACCGCCTACTGTCTAGCTCGACCTCAGCTCGAGCACCCCTCTTAGGGCAGACTCAGTCCACTGCACTCCCACGGGACTCCAAAAAGACCGCGTCTCTATCCGCCCGCACTTCACGCAGAACATCCAGGGAAGGGACCACGTGCGGGTCCCCACTACACACGTAGAACCTGGCAGTTCCTCCATTGGGCCAAACCTGCCCGGCCCAATGAAGGAACCTTGGCCCAGCGTTGGGGGCTATAAATACCCTCTGTTTCCAGAGGGTCAGGTATTCATCATTCTACCCATACTTACTATTGCATGCTCGTGCTCTTACTTACTTCAGCATCAGAGTGTCTTGCAGGTACCCCCCCCCCCCCCACCTCGTTCAAACTTTCAGCTCGGAGCCAGCCGTGACGGTCCAAGTCTGATCAGGTTAGATCAGGTACAATACGCGGTGCAGATATCATTAATGGTACGAGATACAACATTTTAAAAAAATTGAGGTACGAATACATTATTATAAAATAAAAAGTTTTAGAAAATAATGTTAAGATACAATAAATAAGAAATTAAATAGATCAATATAATATATTGTGTTGAATATGGATCATATTATTGAGATAATTATGGATTGTTGAGATAAATAAGGGTTGTTGAGAGTATAACTTATATTGTTAAGATAATTAAAGGTTGTTGAGATAACTATATGTTGTTGAGAGAATAACTCATATTGTTGAGAAAATTATGGATAGAGATAATTGTTTGTTGAGGGAAAACTAGTCATTAGGGTTTTAGATAAACTAAAACCTCGTATTATATATGGCTTGTAACACTGTAATCTATATGCAATTCACAAGATATAAATAAAGAGAACTATAGCTACTTTGTAGTCACGGACGTATGTAATTTGGAAGAACTACGTGAACAAAGCTTTTATATATTTTTCTCTACTCTGATTAGTATTTGTGTTACTGATTTAACAATTGGAATCAGATGATGCTTAATCCTAAAGGTGCAAAATTCGAAGTGACTCTATTTGACGGAATGAGGGCAATTTAGGTTTATGGCAAAAGAGGGTTAAGGATTTGTTGGCTCAACATGGTTTATAGAAGGCGCTTCGTGATGAGAAAATGACGAACATCACAACCATTGATTGGAATGAGATGAAAGAGAAGATCGCAGGTTTGATAAGACTTTATGTTTTTGATGACGTGATGAATCATATCCTGGACCTTAAAACCTTGAAGAATGTCTGGAATAAATTTGAAAATCGGTACATGCCTAAGACACTCATGAACAACTTTTTTGCGAAGTAGCATCTTTATAGCCCAGAGATGCAAGAAGGAGGAAATTTACAGGCTCATGTCAATGCTTTCAACAACATCCTCGCTGATTTGGCACAGCTTGATGTGAAGGTTGACAATGAGAATAAAGTCGTTATTTTGTTGTGCTCTTTACTAGACTCCTATGATCATTGGGAGACCACTCTCACATACGGGAAGGAAACAATCATGCTGAATTCTATTTCTTCTACTTCTTTGTAACACACACAATGTCACCAAATTGTAGAGGAATGTGGAGGGAGCTCAGATGAAGGTTCATTTGTGAAGCAAGGTCAAGATCGTGGCAGAGGGAAGGGTAAGGAAGTGACTTCTGGAAAGAAAAAGAGGTCCAAGTCTAAGGACAGAAAAATAACATAATGTTATGGTTGCAAGAAAATTGGTCATTGGAAGAGGGACTGTCCAAACAAGTCAGGCAACAATAGTTCAACAAATATAGTTTAGACTGATGGTTCTTGTAGTGAAGAGGATTTGCTTTGCATTTCATCTGCAAAGTGCATTGATGCAAATATTCTTGATTCTGGGTACTCTTACCATATGATGCCGCATCGGAAGTGGTTCAACTATTTTAAATCAGGTGATTTTGGTTTTGTCTATTTAGGTGATGATAAAACTTGTACCATTACTGGAAAGGGAAAAATTAAAATTTGTTTGGATGATGGTGACGTGCACATGTTGAGTGAGGTGCGTTATGTTCCAAAATTTAGGAAAATTTTGATTTCTTTAGGTACTCTTTAAACGAATGGTTATTCATTTCGATCAGATGGAGATAGAGACATCATGAGGATTAGAAAGGGTGCAATGACAATGATGACGGAAATGAGGAATGCAGGAAACATTTATAAGTTGTTAGGGGAATGGTTATGGTTGATATGGCATTTCTTGAAATTGATAATGATGCAACCAAATTGTGACACATGCGTTTGGTTCATCTCAGTGAATGTGGGATGACGGAACTATATAAAAGGAATTTGTTGAAGGATATTCGTAGTTGCACAATTGGATTGTGGAAGTATTGTATTATTGGGAAACAATGTAGAGTTTGTTTCAAGACCGGGTGTGATCGGTGGATCTGGAACTGACTGTTTAACGCTGGTTCGCAAAATGTCGTGGAAGCAAGAGTCGCCACCGTCTTTTATTTTCTCCAAATGGAAAGGACAAAAGCACAGAAAAATTCCTTAAAGAGATTGCTCTCGGTTCGGGAGGTAGGTTATAGAAAGGGAAGGTGTTAGCACCCTTTCTATCCATGGTTATCCATGGGCTCTTAGATACTTGCTCATTGTGTTTTCAAAATGATTTGTTTGCTTCTCAACTGTGGGTTTTAAAAAGTTTCTCTGAAAATTTCAGTTTGACTCTTGTATCGGTCCTCAAGAGTGTTTGAAAAATTGCTTTCGAAAGCTTTTTGAAAAGGTGTCGGTGTGAAAAGTATTTTGAATTTTGTTTGAAATTAGAGCAAGTATCTTAGAGTTGTCTACCTACCCTAAGGAATTCGTCTGTGTAAATGTCCTTAAAGTAGTGCCATCCCACCATTGAGAGGTAGGTAGCACCACCATTGGAGGTGTTCGGGTCAATTCGAGGTTCGGGACATGGTGATCACCAGAGCAATGGGAAGACACCTTAGAAGCTACCCTCATGCCAGGTCCCGGATCATGAGGACTTACTAAGACATCCTCTACTCGACGATCACCTTTCGAGGCAAGGCAACAGTGAGGCGTACCCTAGGGGTGGTATGTGCGATTCGTGTGTTGTTTTCATTTGCATTTGTCTTTTGTCATGTCATTGGTGTTCTACGCTTGTTTTTATTTTGTCCATACATTCTTTCATGCCTTTGATTAACAGTTAAAAATATTACGGGAAAGGTAAATTCTAAACTATTACAAAAGGCGCGGGTCCACATCGCCAAAATTAACCAGGACCCGATTTGACAAAAAAATAAAGAAAGGAAAAGAAAAGTGCGAGAAAATTAAAAGGTTACATGGCCTTGGGAGAGATACATAAATATGATAAAGAAATAAAATAAATATGCGCATAAGAATTAAATCGAAACGAGGGCGTTGGACCCTTTTTGCAAAATTAAAATTACATGGAATTAATTAAAAAGGATAAAAAGGAAAGGGAATTGTTTTTTGGTGTTTTTTAATGTTTTAGGATTTAATGAAAAAAAGAATTAATTAAAATTAAAATAAGATGCTAAACCTAATTCTAATTATTTTTAATTTATTAAGAAAAATGTTGAAGTTTTTAACCTAAATTAAACCTAATTTTTATATACAAATTTAATTATAAAATAAATATTTAACTATTTAATTATTTAAGAAAGAAAAATAAAAAGGATGAAAAATTATTAATAAAACCCTATTTCTACATTTTTTAGATTTTTGTTAAAAGAATTAAAATTAACCTAATTTAAAACTAAATTTAATTTCATGCAAATTTAATTATGAAAATACTAAAATAAAAATATTTATTATTTTAACTCTTTTCTGATTTTTTATGATGTTTTATATTTTGTGAAAATAATTAATTAACTAAACAAATAATAGTTAAAAGAAAATAGAATTAATAAATAAATAAAAAAACATAGCAAACCTAGGGGGTTCAGACCCCAAATAGGAGGTGATTCTTTAGAAATTCAGGCCCATTAATCTTGCTGGCCTTTTTGACTTTTCAGGGGGTGTGCTGCAGCGTTGACCTATGCTTATGGTGTTCCTCAATTCTGAGCCTTTGATTTGAGCCTGATATGCACATGGATGGTTTGATCTGGAGGGTGCATGATGTGCTTCAATATTGAACCTGCACGTGAATTTTTATGGAAAAACAATATGGGAATATTGAAGACCTGGGGCTCGAACCCAGGTCATGAGGATTAACAACAACAACGCTTGCCAGTTGAACTAATTTGCACATGTTAATATATAATAAACAACAAATATAATAAATAAAAACAAGCGTTAGTGGGGCCTCTGCGCGCGAAATTCAAAAGAGCCAACCAACGTACGCCACGAGGTCGTCTTCTTCGTCGTCCCTGAAATACAAAACATAAGCCACGGTTTTTTCACCGTTTCAGAATGGGTCCTTTGAGAAAATAGCGATTAGCCATTTAGTGCTCATAAATTGAGCGCGAGAGTTCCATTGTCTTCGTCCAAATACGCTGATTTGAATGGTGGTGGTCAGGGGTTCTAATTTTTCCTTGATTAAAAATCCCTAATTCCAAGCCCTGTAAACCCTAGAAAACAATCATGGCATAATCGCGTACACAGCATAAAAATACAATTGAATCATTGGGTTAGCTTTGGAATTGCATGAGGAGTATGAATCACATATTAAAACTTATTAAAAGTGCATGAATCGAGATGCAAGATCATGGAATTTTTTGTGCACAGGTCCGGTTCGTATTACCAGTTCTTTGAGTTTTGATGAATGATATTGATTGGAAATCGTTCAGTGAACCTCCAGGAAGATGTTTGAACCACTATTATGCCTTGAATCAGCCTGCAAAAGGGTTTTCAGTTTTGAGTTTCTTAACAAAAATTCCAAGTTTGATTGTTAGGTTTCTGAGCAGCTGCGTGTGTAATGGCACTAGGGTTGTGATCCTTGCATATGTAGTAACGAATTAGGTTAAAAAGAATCATCCAAATCTCTTGCATTCATAGTTTTTGGAAATTTGATTTTTAAGATCTTTTTCAATCTTTTTCCATGTGTTTTTGTTCTCAATCATACCAATTCTCTCCAAATCTTTCCATATTGGATTTCACACGAATTATTGAGTAGATTTTGTGCACAAAAAGATTGAAAAAATTAGGTTAAGCATTTTTCATATATTTAATTTGATTTAAATGAATTATTATAAATAAAAATTCAAATAAATAAATAAAAAATGAATAAAGACTTCCCTTTGGGCCAAGTAGTCGTGCATATGCCTTGGGTGATGAATTGTGGAAGAAAAATGGGCCCATTAGCAATTTTAGGTCATTTGAATCAATGTTGACTTTTCAAAATATCCAAAAATTTCCCAACTTCCACAAGGCATAACTTACTCAATTTTTAAGATTTTCTCATGTTCTTGGACATTTTGGAAAGGTCTTTGAGTCCTCTAACCAATGCCTTTGGTCCCATGTCATTTTGATTTACCAATATCAAGTTATGGCCTTTGACTTAAAGTCCCTTTTTGTTGACTTTTGAAAATGACCTATAATGTTGAAATTGATAACTTTTTGTGAGAGCATTTCTTGGACTTGAAGTATGAAGATGAGTTGTAGGAAATGTCTTTCTATTCAAAATGAGCTTTGGATGTAATTTTTCTGATAATCCATGTGAAAGTTATGCCCTGGTCAATTTCAGTTGACTTTTTCAGCTGTCCAAATAAGGAAACTTTTGCATCTTGATGATTTTTGAGCCAAATTTTGAGAATCATGATCAAGCATTGATCAAATGATGTTTGTGGCTTAAAAATGATATGTTGACCAAAAATTTGAACTTTTGACTGTCAAATGACCATTTTGCCCCTACAGTTGACTGTAGTGCAATTAGGATTTTTGATTGTGCAATTTTATGCTGAATGTCTTGAAACTTGATATGAGGATGCTTGACCATATTTGTAGGCATGTGAGACTTGATTGGACCTTTGAGACCTTCATTTTCTTGATCAGAACACAAACCCTAATCTTGACTGTTTAGGAGGCTCTTGCACTGTGCAACCCTTGGGGAATTCTGAAGCTTGACTTTGCAAATCTTTGAAGAATATGGGAGGGAAAATTTTGGGGTACAACAGTTGCCCCTGTTCAATCTTCTTAGACCTGAGGATGCAGATTGGCTGACGTGCCTTTCGTAATCCGAGGGTAGAAGATGATTGAACACTAGAGTGCCCAGAAATTTGCGCTCACATAGTAGCAGTGTGATGATGGGAATGGGCTTACAGATGCCATTTAGAGGTTGATGAATAGGACGATGGGCTTATAGATGCCATCTGGATGTTGATCGCGTAAGAGATTCCTTAGCGAGAACTTGCGTACCTGCAAAAGAAAAGATGAGTACCTGACACGTTGCAGGAGCTGATTTTCAGATGCTTTTGTGTAGATATGTCCTGACTGGTTACAGGAATCGGATCTTCGAATTCTTCAGACGTGCCCTGGCGAGATACAGGAATCGAGTCTGGTAATGTTAGTCTTCAACGGATATACCCTGGCAAGATTCAGGCATCGGAT